CATCATCATCATCATCATCATGATCATCATCAATATCATCCTCATCATCATCAACATAACCACCATCATCATCATCATCATCATCATCATCATCATCATCATCATCATCATCATCATCATCATCATCATCATCATCATCATCATCATCATCATCTTCATGAGCATCATCATCATCATCAGCATCATCATATTCATCATCAGCATCATCGTCATCATCATCATCATCATCATCGTCGTCATCATCATCATCATCACCATCATCAGCATCATCATCATCATCATCAGCATCATCATCAGCATCATCATCATCATCAGCATCAATATCATCATCAGCATCGTCATCATCATCATCATCAGCATCATCATCATCATGATCATCATCATCAGCATCATCATCAGCATCATCATCATCATCATCAGCATCATCATCATCATCATCAACATCAGCATCGTCATCATCGTCACCATCATCATCATCATCATCATCATCATCATCATCATCTTCATCAGCATCATCATCATCGTCAGCATCATCATATTCATCATCAGCATCATCGTCATCATCATCATTAACATCATAAGCACCATCATCATCAATCATCATCATGAGCATCATCATCATCATCATCATCATCAACATCATCATCATCAGCAGCAGCAGCAGCATCATCCGCATCATCATCATCATCATCATCATCATCATCAGCATCATTATCCTCCTGCTCCTCCTCCTACTCTTCCTCCTCCTCCTCCTTATCCTCCTCCTCCTCCTCCTCCTCCTCCTCCTGCTCCTCCTCCTCCTTCTCCTCCTCCTCTTCCTCCTCTTCATCCTCCTCCTCCTCCCCTCCGCTCCTCCTCCTCCTCCTGCTTCTCCTTCTCCTCCTTCCTCCGCCTCCTCCTCCTACACCTCCTGCTCCCTCCTCCTCCCCCTCCTCCTCCTCCATCCTCCTCTCCTCCTCATCTCATCCTCCTCCTCCTCCTTCCTCCTCCCTGTTCCTCCTCCTCCTGCTCCTCTCCTCCTCCCCTCGTCCTCCTCCTCCTCCTCCTCTCATCCGCCTCTCCTTCCTCATCACCATCACCTCCTCTTCCTCCTCCTCCTCCTCCTGCTCCTCCTCCTCCTCCTGCCTCCTGCTCCTCCTCCTCATCCTCCTCATCATCCTTCTCCTCGTCCTCCTCCTCCTCTCCTCCTCCTCTCCTCCTCCCCTCCTCCTGCCCTCCTCCTCATCCCCTCCTCCGTCTTCTCCTCCTCCTAATCGTCCTCGCCTTCCTCCTCCTCCTCCCCTCCTCCTCCTCCTGCTCCTCCTCTCCTCCTCATCCGCCTCCTCCTCCTGATCCTCCTCCTCCTCCTCCTCATCCTCCTCCTCCTCCTGTTCCTCCTCCTCCCCTTTCCTCTTCCTCCTCCTCTTATTCTCCTCCTCCTCCTCTCCTCTTCCTCATCCTCCTCATCCTCCTCCTCTTCATCCTCCCTCCTCCCCCTCCTCCCCCCTCCTCCTCCTCCTCCTCTCCTCCTCCTCCTCTCCTCCTCCTACTCCTCTTTCATCTTCCTCCTTCCTCCCTCCTCCTCCTCCTCCTCCTCCTCCTCCTCCTCCTCCCCCATGATTTTGCCGTGTAAGCAACTTCTCCCTGTCGCATCCCGAGGCCAGTTCTTAGAGCGGTCCGGGCGTTTCGCGTGAGATTTGCTCACCATGTATCACCCTGGAACTCAAACATTGACAACAACTTCACGGATTGACGGCGGGTGGTTTTCAAACTGTGGCTCTAGCCTTCGCGCCGCGCGCATTCGTTCTGCTCTTTTTCAAATTGTGGTGCTCGCCTGAGCGCCGCGCACATTCGCTTTTTTTAACATGTGCAAGAGCTTCACGGATTGAGGGCGGCTCCGCTTCAAAATGTTCCTCTCGCCTCAGCGCCGCGTACATTCGTTGTAAATACTCGCTAGAGTTTCACGGATCCCCATGATCCGCAAACCAGAAATTGTGTTTTGGAAGGATTCAGGATTGGCGCAACAGTTACGTTGATTCGCGGCGTTGAAGTCCCAAGAATGGCGTTCTGGTACGACTCAGGATCGTCAAGACGCAACAGTCAGGTTGATCCGTGGTGTTGGAATCTCCAGAACAATGTTTTCGCATGCATCAGGGTCTACAAGCGGTTGTCTTCCAACGAAGCAGTTCCCTCAGTGGAAATGAACCCTTGTAGGGGCCCATGAAAAGGGAGCTCGGAGGGAGGAATTATTCCAACATCGTTGATGACTCTTGGGTTTACACTGGTCCTCCTCCTCGTCCTCCTCCTCCTCCTCCTCCTCCTCCTCACCCCCCCCCTCCCATCCTCCTCTACTGTCCTCCTCCCCCATCCCCCCTCATCTCCCGCCTCCCTCGCGGCGCCCACTTGGCGCGCGCGGCCCGTCCTCGGGAGCGCCGCAGGGAGGGGGGGGGTCCGTCCACGAGAAGGGTTTCGCAGATCATGGCCCGAGGCGTGTGCGCGGACCGAGGGGCGAGTCCAGCAGGGGACGCCTCGAGAGGAGGAGGCGGGGGCATGAAATCTGGGGAGCAGTCCTGGCCCCCGCCACGAGATCCCGCCCCCCTCCCCCCCCCCTGGTCACCGCCCCCTCCTTCTTGGACGCCCCCGACAGAGCAGGCTGGGCGAGGAGGCCCAGCCAGCCGGCGATGCAGAAAGTGCGAGGCGGCCAGTTTCTCAGCGAGCCTCGGGCAATGCGGCTTCGGGACTCCGATGCCGTCAAGAAGGACCCAGGATGAGAGCAGAACACAGACTGCTCCAGGAAGGGGCTCCAGGGTTTCCCGAAACCCCAGGCATAACGACTTTGGGTCTGCAGTCAGCAGCTCGCTGCGCCACCCTGGCAGCCTGACCCTTGTCTCCCTCTCTCTCTCTCTCTCTCTCTCTCTCCCTCCGTGCTGTTTCGAACACTGGCGCTCCTCCGTCCTCGTTCCTCCATCTTCGCCGGTCTATCCCCGTCCATGGTCGTCCTTTCCCCATCTTCTTCCCTGCATCGTGATATCATGACCTCTTGTTTTTACCTCTCTGTATGTGTATACATATATATGAATACAGTCAACCCGTATAGCAAGGACGCAAGATAAGGATGCAAGGGCCTCGAAAGGCCATGTCGACACTTAGCGAGCGGGCCGCGGCCAGCGAAAGAGGCCAAGGATGCGCCGAAGGGGCAGGATGAAGGATAACCTTGGGAAGTTGCTCATCCATCTTATGCGGGTTGACTCTATCGCTCTCCCACCCTCGCCGCCTGCACACGCCTTCTGCATGTCGCCCTCTCGCCCCGTCGCACCCCTTAGGGCCGCCCAGTGGCCCGACAACCGTCGCTCGCTGCGCCCTCCGCGCGCGCGAGCGCCCATGCCGCACCCCGCGCTCGGGTCGGGCTGGACGAAAGGGGGGGACAGCAAAGGGGGGCAGCAAATCAGCCGCATGCAGCCAAGTTCCCGGGCGCTGGAGGCGCCAACGCATCGAGGAAGGCGCCCGGCGGTGGGGCCGAAACAAACTGCCTGCTAGCTCGGGCAGCAGACAGAGTTCAGACCTCCAGATGGGACAGACGAACGCGCCTGATGATTCGCAATCGATTTCTGTGAGAATGAGCTCTGTAGTAGCTCTACAGCTCGAGTTAAGTACAAAATACCGACAACGCGTATCAAGATGACTTGAAACAGCCGATCCCGCCGCGACGCTTTTTTGCAGAAATATTTACCCGATCGAGCTGAGATTAAGATGGCGAGCGGGAATAAGATCGAATATGATCAGAAAAAATACTAGAGCTCAAACGAATTGTTGAATTTAGAGAACAGTGTCGCCCCGCCTCCCCTCCCCCCACACACTCTTCCAGACCCCCCCCCTCCCGTCACCCCCGACCCCAAAGATCCGATGCCGTGATTGTTGTTCAATGCGGGGTCCGGACGTCCCGGGCCCTGGCGAGGGCCTCCCGCGGCCGAAGATACCGAAAGACCTCCCGTCCGGAGGAGCATGCCTGGGCCCGCCCTCCGCCACCGCGCCTCGGGTCGCGTGCGCCGCCCGTTTCTCGCGAGGCATGCGCTCGGTCGGTCTGCTCGGCGGACGTGCCCGCCCGTGCGTCGCATTGGCCGGTGTCTGGTACAGGTGCGCGTGCCTCCCCGGCACGGCAGGCCCGGAGGCAGAATCGAACGCCCCCCGCCGCGCAGGCCGCCCCGAGAGGGCGCCCCCGGCGGCCGATCGACGCGGCCGCCGCAGCTAGGCGTGCCCGTAGTCCTGCGGCAGCCTGGGGCGGGGCGCGCGGGGCGGAGGGCGGTGTCGGGCCTTCTGGGGGCCGAGGGGGGCGGGGGGGAAGCCCAGGCTAGAGAGAGGCCTCCTGGACGGGGTCCGATCAGGTGGGCTCGGAGGATGGCGCCGCATCGCCGCTGCATCGCCGACACATCGGCGATGCAGCGGCGACGCTGGCGATGCGCCGGCGACGTCGGGGTGGAGAAAATCTAGGGTCGGTCTCCACGTCGAGCCGCACCGCCGATGCATCGGCGAGGCGGCGCGATCCTCCGACCCCGTCTGCTCCGACCCCCCCCCCTGGGAGGCTTAGAGCCAGCCTGTGCTGGCTCGTCCGGGATCTTGTTCGGCGCATCTTGTCCGGGATGTGGGCCCCAGGGGGGTCTCGGACCCCTCCTTAGGGACCGGATTATAAAACGCCACATGATGAGCGAAACGCTTGTTTTCGGGAGCGCCCAGGAGGGGGGCGTCCAAGAGGAGGGTTCGCAAATCATGGCCCGAGGCACTTACGCGGCCCAGGGGGGCCAGGGGACGCCTTAAAATAAGAAGAGGCGCCATGACATCTGGGCCATGACATATCCCCCCTCCTAAGTAGTCATTACCCCCCTCTTGGACGCCCCCGATGTTCGGCCCTGACAGCGACTGGGTGTACGAGAGGCGCTGGAGAAACAGCCATATGGACCTACGGAACAACGAGCCCGTTCCCAGCCAGCCCCAACTGTTCCTCCTTCCTTATCTGCGGTCGCCACGCCAATCCAAGGTTGCGAGTGGGGCCCTCTTGGGGGTCTCTTGGGACCGTTTTGACGCCGTCTTGGGGGCATGTTGAGTCGTCATGGAAGTGTCCTGGGGCTGTCTGGGGACAGCCAGTGGGCCATGTCGGGTTGTCTTGGGGCTCTCTTGGGCTCTCTGGAGCCATTCTGGAGGCCCTCTTGGAGCGTCTTGGGCCCCTCTTGGTCCCCTTTCGGGGCCCTCTTGGGCGCCTTCGGGCCGCCTTGGGGGTCTCTCGGGCCGTCTGGCGAGCTCTGACTACCGAGAGGGCGATTCTGCCAGAATCGCACAAAACCGGAGGAACATGTATGACTTTTGCACCTCTCTTTCTTCTGTGCGTGTTTCTGGCGCGCGCGAGCGCCAGGCCAGCCCGGGACCGGGCGATCACAAGGGCGGCGGCGGCGCGTTCATCTGGGCGGTCTGCATCTGCGCCATCTGCTCGAACAGCTGGCACTCTTTCTCGTACATGAAGAAGACCGGCACCACCAGGACAATGCCAGCCGTCGCGGTAGTCCACAGTATGTGGCCGCCGAGCCACCACGCTTTCGAGCCGAGCTTCATCAGCCGGCTCTTCGCCTTCTTGACCCTCGGGGCGGAGGCCTCCGCAAAATTCGACAGCGCGTTCCCCATCGGGTCTGTGAACCAACGGCCTTCCCCAGTTAGGGGCTGTACGTTGGGACGGACGCGCCAGAAAAGCGTGCTGGCCCTTGAGCCAGAATGGCTACGGTCCATGATGTGTGCCTCTTGGGGGCCTGGTGGGGGTCCTCTGTGGATCCCCCGACCCCCGTGGGCCGTCTTGGGAGCCTGTGGGCAGTTTTGCGGCCACCGAAATGAGGCCATACTTGGCTGTGGCCGTACTTGGATAATCTTAGGAGCCAGTTTGGGGGTTTCGTCCGCAGCTCTGGAGGCCTTCTCGGGCTTTCTTTCGAGTCGGCGTGGGCCCTCCTAGTACGCCCGCGGCTGGGCCAGGCCAGTCCACTCTCAAGTTGTGGCGGGCCATGCTTCGACGCACGCATAATTGTGGAAAAAGACTGCGCCCACACCGCACCGACGGACCACGGAGGGGACGATACGTAGCGAACGAGGAGCACTATCATCCCACTCCCCTGAGATCCGAAATTCCCCCCCCCCCCAAAAAAAAACAACAAAAAAAAAAAGACCGGAGCCCCAGGCAAGATCTTTCTGCGCCGTTTATCGAGCCGAATCGATCCGTGGGGGCCCGGAATTCCAAGCCAGGCGGAGACGCCCGCTGTGAGAACAAAAGGTGGCCCGCGTGCCCTGGCTCATGCACCAAGGAGCTGCAAGGAACAGGAGGCTTTCGCCTCCTTCCTCCAGAAGTTTCCTTCCGTGGCCTGGGGGGGGGGGGGGGGGGGCGAACGGCGAACGACGAACGAACGACGAACAAACATAAGAGCTCTGGAACACAGCTGTGCAAGAGAGTTGACATGTCCGAGCTCTATAACACAGCAGGCAAGTCCAGGGGGGCCAGGGGAGAGGACGAAGGAGTGGGCCAGGGAAACCAGAGGGGGGGGGAGAGCGAGGGGGGCTGGGTCCAGGGCAAGGGCAGGGGGGAGCTGGGTCCAGGACCAGGCCAGGGGACCAGGGAGGCCAGGGCGGGGGGCCCGGGAAGCCAGGGGGAGGAGGGCGAGGGGGGCTGGGTCCAGGGCAAAGGCAGGTCCAGGGCAAGGCTAGGGAGGCCAGGGGGGAGAACGAACGACGAACGAACGAATGGCGACGACGAAAAGAAGGAGGCCATGGGGGGGAGAGGGACGACGAACGGGAAGCCTGAGGGGGAGAGCGAGGGATGCTGGGTCCAGGGAGTGGGTTAGGGAGGCCAGGGGGGGAGAGCAACGGGAGCTGGGGAGGGCTGGGTCCAGGGCAAGGACAGGACGGCCAGGGGGGAGGACGAACGGACGAACGACGACGGCGACAATAAAGAGGTCCGAGATCTAGAACACAGCTGTGTCAGATAATAAAATGGTCGGAGCGGAATGGGGGGGGCCGTGCATTGCCGCAAGAACGCAGCCGGGGCGGAGGGACCCGCTGGCTGGTGGGGAGGGATGCGGAGAACGTACATGGGCTGCCGAAGGGGGGACTGGTGCCGTGCCGCGCCGGGACAGAACTGAGGACGAGGGGTGGCGACGCGAAATAAAACGGTCGGGGCGGAGGGGGCACTCGGCTGCTGGAAACAACGGGATGGCGAAGACAAGGGGGCCGCTGGGGACAGAGCTGGGGACAGGGGGGGCAGACGCGAAATAAAGCTGTCGGGGCGGATCATGGAGGCAGAAGGGTGGCGAAGACAAGGGGGCGCTGGGGACAGAACTAGAGGTAGGGACAAGGGGGGAGGGGGAGTGCGACGCGAAACAGGTGGGGGGGAGGGGGAGGGGGGGGGACAGGGAGGGGAGGGTGCGACGCGACGCGGAATAAAGTGGTCGGGGCGGGGCGGTCACTGGGCGGCTGTTCCACTGGGACGCGGGGGAACGCTGGGGGGGGCGACGCGACGCGGAATAAAGTCGTCGGGGAAGAGGGGGCACTGGGCCGCTGGGGAGCGGGGGCAGGGAGGGGGGGTGCAACGCGAAGCGGAACGTAGTGGTCGGGGCGGAGGGGGCACTGGGCGGGGGCTCCACTGGGACGCAGGGAAACGCCAGGGATGCGGCGACTGCGACGCGGAATAAAAACGCCGGGGCGGAGGGGGCACTGGGCCGCTGGGGAACGCTGAGGAGGGGGTGTCGGGGGCGGGGAGGGGTGTGCGATGCGACGCGGAAAAAAGTTCTCGGCTCGGAGGGGGCACTGGGCGGCCGTTCCACTGGGACGCGGGGGAACGCTGGGGAGTGGGGGCGACGTGACTCGGGATAAAGACGCCGGGGCGGAGAGGGGGCACTGGGCCGCTGAGGGACGCTTGGGTGGGGGTGGCGGGGGCGGGGAGGGGGGGGCTCGACGCGACTCGGAATAAGATGGTCGGGGCGGAGTGGGCACTGGGCGGGGTTTCCACTGGAACGCGGGGAAAACCCAGGGAGGGGGGGCGACGCTATGCGGAATAAAGTCACCGGGGCGCAGTGGGCAATGGGCCGCTGGGGAACGCTAGGGAGTGGGTGTCGGGGGCGGGGAGGGGTGTGCGATGCGACGCGGAAAAAAGTTCTCGGCTCGGAGGGGGCACTGGGCGGCCGTTCCACTGGGACGCGGGGGAACGCTGGGGAGTGGGGGCGACGCGACGCGGGATAAAGTGATTGGGGTGGAGGGGGCACTGGGCCGCTGGGGAACGCGGGGGTGGGGGTGGCGGGGGCGGGGAGGGGGGGGGGCGACGCGACTCGGAATAAAATGGTCGGGGCGGAATGAGCGCTGGGCGGGGGATCGGGGGTCTGCGCCCACTGGGCCGCTGGGGAACGCCGGTCGGGGCGGAGGGGGCACTGGGCGGAGGTTCCACTGGACCGCTGGGGATCGCCGGGGAAGGGGGGGCGGGGGCGGGGAGGGGGGTGCGACGCGACACGGAATGAAGCGGCCGGGGCGGAAAAGGCAATGGGCGGGGGTTCCACTGGGCCGCGGGGGACCGTTGTGGAGGGGGCGCGACGCGACGCGGAAGAAAGTCGCCGGGGCGGAGGGGGCACTGGATGGAGGTTCCATTGGGCCGCTGCGGATCGCCTGGGAGAGGGGGGGAGGGAAGCGGTGGGAGGGGTGCGACGCGACGCGGAATAAAGTGGTCGGGGCGGAGGGTGAATTGGGCCGTAGTTCCACTGGGCCGCTAGGGGGCGCTGGGGAGAGTGGGGGCGGGGGCGGGGGGGGGCGACTCGACGCGGAACAAATGGTCGGCCACCAACCGGGCGCCAGGCGAAAACTCGGCGGACCAACCCAGCGCACGGGGCGCCTACGAGGCGCTCACGACCGGACGCCAACCGGGCACTAGCCAGAACCCCGGCAAACCCAACATCCGATTACGTATCTAGACAAGCTCGAGCCCCTAAGTGCAAGCGCGGCTTGCTACATGGGGAACGTTCACGAAGACACATAGGCACATAATTACCGGAACACAAGCACGCCTACGTCCATCAATAAATACATGCATGCATGCATACAAGCAGACCATGCATACAAACAGACCGGCACAGCACACACGTGCAAACACCCACACGCAACGAGCGCTCTGGCCTGCAATGGTGATCTCCAGGGCGCCTCGCTTCTGGGCCGCGGGACCGAGTGCGGCAGAGATGCCCGAGAAGCACAACGGTCCTGGGGAGGCGGTCGAGAGCGCTGGGGGGCCCACGTCGCGAGCGACTCGCGACGTCGACGGCCTGGGAGCTGCCATGCGCCCTCGCCACAGCGCGCCCTCCCGGAGCAAACAGCGCAGCCACCCTGAGAGCACGAGTGAGGAATGCTGCGCGAAAGATCGGCACCGCTCTGATGGGCCCGTTTTCCACCACCACCACCACCACCACCATAAGTTGGAGGGGGAGGGGTCCTCCTCCTCCTCCTCCTCCTCCTCCTCCTCCTCCTCCTCCTCCCCATCCTCCCTCGTCCTCCTTCCCCCCTCCAACTTATGGTGGTGGTGGTGGTGGAAGACAGGTCCATCATGGTCGACCCCAGAAAGCGTGAGCATCAAGGACGGCTCACCGATCCGGGTCTTGCGAGAGCTGCCCCAGCCAGCGTCTCGAACCCGGAAACTTCAACACCGCGATGTCATCATGACGTGTCTCCCAGATCTCTCAAGTGCATCTACGGGACGGGCTCTTGATGACCCCGTGATTACAGAAGGACCCCTGGAAGCCGAAATCACGGACCAAACGTCGGCCCTACTATCTTCTCGACGCCAGGGGGGCCCAGGAGGCCCCAGAAAGAGCCAAAACGCCCAAGTGACTCAAACGTCGAACCTCCATCCCAAACATCCGTCGGTGTGATCTTGTCAACGCGCGGCCCCAGGGGCCCCGACCCCGTTCCGCAGGGGTAGTTCTTCGTCTCGGGTTTGTTTTTGATTGCCACGGGGCCCGATGGTTCGAGTATGGGATCGACTACAGAATTGACCCCATGAAAAATGCGCATCCTGTTTAATAGATCCACGACAGTTTCAAATATATGTTGCAGATTCGGCGGGAAATGAAGTTTTGGGTGCATCAATTCTGTAGTCGACCTCCTGCTCGAGTACTGGCCCCCAAAGGCCGAAAGCTAGAAACAAAAACTCCAGGATTAAGAACAAACACAGCGTCGCAGAGCATTCACCGTCTAACCTCGATCCTCGTCTCGCTCGGGCTGCGCCGGCGGAGGCCCCAGCGCTCCCCAGTCGCGCCCCCACCGTGCGCAATGGATATCACTGTCGCCCTCCGCCTCCTCGTCCCCTCCCACCCCCCATCTCCGCCTCCTCCTCCTCCTTCTTCTCCTCCGCCCCTTTCCTCCTCCTCCTCCTCCTCCTCCTCCTCTTCCTCCTCCTCCTCCTCCTCCTCCTCCTTCTCCTCATCCTCCTCCGCATCCTCCTCCGCATCCTCGCCATCCGCCTTCTTAATCATCGTCCTCCTCGTCCTCTTACCTCTGGGCGGGGAGGGCGATGCCCAGAGGGCGGTGGACGGAGGGGCACCAATCCCCGCGGCGGGGGGCCTCATGGTGCCCGGCAGCGCGCTGTAGGTGGCGGGGTTGCCCGCGGCGTAGGAGCCTGGCAGCGGCGAGAGGCGCGGTGGGGCAGCCTGGGGCCCAGGCTGCGCCGCACACAGGGGAACAAACAATGACAGAAACATAAAAACTCGGAGATCCGTGCGAATTTCTCGGATCGGCGCTGGACACCCCTCCCTGGCGCGCGGAGCGCGCCAGTGGCGGCGCCGGAGGCGCCGCCAGGGAGCTCCAGCGCCAATCCAAGGAATCCGCGCAGGCCTCTGAGCTTTCATGCGTATGTAGTGTCTCATTCCCCTCGCGCACAAGGTGGTAGGGGGAGGGGGGAAGGCTTCTCAGAAGGAAGCCGCCGCTTCTCAGAAGGCGCCCGCCTTGCACCTACAGAGAAGACCCCCGCGCTTTAAGAAGCAGGGTGCTGAAGAAGCCTTTCCCCCCTCCCCCGTGCCCCCCTCGTGCGCGTGGCCGCGCGCAGCCCGTGCCGCACCGTGGGACGCCGGGCGAACTTGCCGGGCACGGCGTACCTGTCGCTCGTCGTGGCAGGAGCCAGACCCGCTCGCGCCATCAAAAAACTCGGGGGCCCTCGCCGGGCCCCAGGACCGTCAGCAAAACGACACGGGATGAAACACAGGTCCAGGGGAATGGGTCGAGACCTCCGAGAGGTCCACTTTACGAAAAAGGACGTCGAGGGTCACTCGTTTCATCTATCTCACTGCTACTCGAACCCCGCCCCCGGCGGACAAAATACAGCAGAAGGTTTCAAGCCGTGTTCGGCATCGGGGGTCCCTTACTGGGCTCCAGGGCAGTCACCAACATCGGCTCGGGATGAAAAGCCAGTCCTGGGGCAGGGGTCCAGGCCTCTTGGGGTCCGCGTCGTGGAAAAATCATGGCGTCGGGGGTCTGGAGTGCCATCCCTCTCCCCCAGAAGTGTTCAAGCCGAACCCGATGACGATTCTGGGGATGTGCCCTCAGAAACCGCGCAGATCATCAAGATCGGCGCCAAGATGAGGTGATACCAATCTGAAGGGTGGACAAGCAAATTTTTCAGGCGTGTAAACATGGGGGGCCAGAGATCACGGCGCATCGCCGATGCATCTGCGATGTCGGCGTGGAGAAAATCGGTCTCTGGATAGCGCCGCATCGCCGATACCTCGACGATTCGGCGCCATCCACCGACCCCATCTACTCCAGCCCATCTTGGCCCCTAGCGGTCTGCTCTGCTCCATTGCCACCGCGTCTCGCTGGCCGTTCTCGTCCTCGGCCTCGTCGGGGCAGTCTGGCGGGGGCTGCGGCGACCGCGAGGGCCACAACCACGACAAGTCACGGCCCCGCCACGAGATCGACGCACCCCTATCACCCCGCTCTTGGACGCCTGTGAGAGTCGCCCGAGCAATACAACAAGGCCAACCGTGCACCTGCACAGATCCTGGCCGGATCGGGCCTGGGCCCAGCATGTGCGGATACGCCCCCCCCTGGCCTCTGCCATGAGGACGTGCACGCTGGAGGCCTTGGGATCTGTGTCTGATCGCACCGCCCGATCACGTGATCTGATCGCAGCCCCGATCACGATGGCCACAACGCCGACCACGGATCGACCACGCGTTTCGGCTCGGACGATCGTGTGCTGAAGCCGGACCAACCACGTGAGCGGCGATCCCGTGATCCCCCGATCACTGCGGTCTGTGATCGACCATCGAGTAACCAGCAAGCACTGGCCTGGGCATGAGAGCAGGCGGCTGAGCGCCACTGCCAGGGGGGAAGGTCGCAAGAGGGCAGGACCGTCGCCGAGAGAGCACAGAGGCGCAGAGGACTGGCAGGCGGCAGCCCCGGAGGGGGGGGGGGCGGCGGCAGCTTCCGGCCGAGCCGCCTCCACGGGCCTGGCGCCACAGACATGGACGCAACAGACCCGACGCACGAGCACTGGCTTGAGTGTGCAGGCCGCTGGGGCGACGCCCGACACGGGCCTCCAGAGCTTCGCCTTCCTGGAACGCTCCGTGCGGGGCCCCCAAATGTCCCGACCCTTTTGCCCCAGGGGCTGTCTGCGGATGGTCCCATCAGCCGTCTGCTCGGCGAGGAGCCCCGTATGCCGAACACGGCGAGAAACCTCCGCCCTCACCTTTGTCGCACGACGTTCCCCAACTCCCGACGCCGTGTTTTCTTCACAACGTCGGCCCCCAGAGGTCTGAACCCCTTCCCCAGGACCCATAAGGGCCCCCGGACACAGAAAATAGTGAAAGTTAAAACCTCCCGTCGTGATTCTTTATCACGACGCGAGGGGGTCTGGGATGTTTGCCTCACTACGTTGGACAAGCCTGGGCCTGAGAAGGGGCGGATGAGCAGCAGCAGCAGCAGCACCACCACCACCACCACCACCTCCAGGCCCGCGGCGGCCGTGGCGGGGGGCCTCCGTGCGGGGCCGCACCCTGCGGGGCGTAGGGTCCCAGCGACTCCTGGCGGGCTGGGCATACAGGGTCCATCTTCGATGGGCACGCGATGCCGGCAAGGGGGGCGGAGGGGGGAGGAGAGGATACGTCGTCGCGCCGATTGTTCTCGCGACACGTCCAAGTGGGCGACGACGCCGACGCAACGGCAAACCCACGGCAAGCCCTGCGCCCCGCGCCCCCATAGACGCAGCCGGCGCCGCGGCAAACCCGACGGTAAGCCCTGCGCCCAAGGCGGTGGCCACGCGGTGGCGGCAGAGCGATTGTTTGGTCTGCGGGTCGGGAGCGGGCCCCTTCCGGTCAAGAGCTAAACGGGACGCCAGTAGCCCTAAGTGGGGAGACAGGGCGCGGGCGGGCAGGGCCTCAGGCGGCCGGAGGGCTCAGAGTACAGGCGGTGCCGGAGAACTTGCACAGGACAAGGTACGCCATGGACTGGAGCAGGAGGGAGAGTGGGTTGGTGTTGCCGTCATCGGCGCGCCAAGAACACCATCCTCGAGTGCTGCGTGAGGAGGGCCGTGAGCAAGTCAACGTCCGCGAGGTAGAGGAAGACCAGGAAGGACGGTGGCGGCAGAGTGGACACGCGCTGGCGCAGGGAGGCGAAGGGGTGTGTCACTCAAGGGCAGAATGGACATCGCGCTGGGTCGACGGCCCCAGTGGCGCGCACCCTCTGGAGATGCAGGCCGCCGTCTGCTGGGCTCCACGAGCTGGTCCATGCGCTGGCAGGCCTGCTCGCTCCCGCGGGCAGCTCGGTCAGAATCGCCCGAGTCTTGGTGGGCGGAGGGGGGGGGAGAAGAGGAAACTGACAGGAGCGACCGGGTCCTGGATTAGAAAGCCTGAGGCTGGTCCTGCAGTGAGTCGAATAGTCTTCGAGGGGAACTTAGCAGCGCATGGGCACGCATCGCGATCCTCACGCTTTGGATCATCGCCGCGTCGGTAGCCCTGTGGACAACAAGGCGTGAGCACAATGCTAGCGCCCACTGCCTCCCCGCCCTCACCTAGGGGAACGAACAATGACATAAACATAGCAACTCGGAGCTCCGAGTTTCAATGTTTATGTCAGTGCTCGTTCCCCCATCACCTCCCCTCCCCCCCTCCCACTTCTACTTTTGTCGAGCGAGGGCGTTCAAACAGCCCGTGCTGACCACACGGATGCGCCTCAGGCACTTCACACCGTCTTGCCGAGGGAGAGCGCTCCAGCAGCAGGTCTCCACGGCGCGCGCTCCGGCACAGCACGTGCGTACCGAGCGAGACGCTGCAGCAGCTCGAGCAGAACAGCCAGGGTGTCACGTCGCCGTCGCCGCCATCGCCGCAGTTATCGTCGCCGTCGCCGTCGCTGTCGCCGCGGCCGTCGCCGTCGTCGTCGACGCAGCCCTTGCCGTCGCCGTTTCCTCGGTCTGGCCACACATGCTCGCTGTAACAGCATGCCACTGACTGGAAGAAGAGGGGGAACAGGGAGGAGGAGGAGGAGGAGGAGGAGGAGGAGGAGCGCAAGGGAACGAAGGGGGGAAGAGGGAAGAAGGAGGAGGAAGAGGGATGAGGAAGAAAGGGGAAACGGAGGAGCAGAACCCGGCCTCCAATGCACTGAAAAGAATCCAATTACGCACGGCACACGAAGCCACCACTACGCCCTGGACAGAGCATTACTTGCATGGGATAGCACCAGGGACGGATCGGGCATCGCATCGACAGGTACCCGTCCGAATGGGCGGGCATCCGATGGTCCAGCAAGCGTGTGACATGCACGGATGCGGTGCTCCACGCGCTCGGCCTCCAGGGGGGAGAGCCTCGAGCCGATCGCGGGAGCCGACTCCCCACTCCGATCCCCGCGCTGGCCTGGGCTTTATGTGGCCGTCCCAGGTCTCCGACGCGGTTGGCGCTGACGCGCCTCCGAACGCCCCCGATGGGGGGTCCGAGGAGGAGGAGGAGGAGGAGGAGAAGGAGGAGGAGGAGGAGGAGGAGGATCGAGAATGGATCGCAGGGGGGAGGGGGAACCCTTCGATGTTGCAATACGGGGTCCCAGCGTCCCCAGTCCTCCCCCACGACGAATGTATTGTTTGTCGCGTCGCTGCGCACCCCACACCCTCAGCTCGTTCTCGAAGCCAAGTGGCTAATCTAATCAGTCAGGCGGTCGCGCCTCCTGCGCGAGCAATACAAAGCCAGTCAGCGCAGCCTGTCTGGGCAAAAGAGAGACGGCTACGGAAACAAGAAGCGGCTTTCCAGGCAACACGACGCCACCTGGCAGCGCCTGAACAACCACCAAGCGGCGGAGACTTGACAAACCCAGCGGCGATCAGACCAACGCCGCAAACCGACCTTCTCGGCTCCAGTGCTGCATCTGTGCAAACCGAAGCTCCTATCGAGGCGCTTCTTTTGACAGGAGGAAGAAGAGGAAGAGGAGGAGGAGGAGGAGGAGGAGGAGGAGCCGGACTCGAGCATGAACCTGCGCATCGACACAGCCAGAGTTTACTCGCAGCCGGCCACAGTCATGAGAGCAGGCGGAGGCCTCTAGCAGAGCAGCAACACTGAGAGGTTCACCGTGTCAGGATTTCATGAAAAGGCTGAGCCGAATGCATTAATCGGTGAAGCACGCGCCGCGTTGGGAGGGTCCTGGGACCCTGGTGGGGGGGCACTCCTCAGATGCCGAAAACGGCGCACAGCTCAGCTCTGTGCCTCCATCACGCTGGAGGTACCGATGGGGAGGGCTGCATGGCACGCGGAGCCCGTCTTCGAGGGCCTGCTCATCCTCGGACCCCCGCCCTCCGGAGGCACATCCTCTCGAGGCGCTCGGCCGCCTGCTGCGCCCTCTCCCCGAAGGAGGGCCGCCGGTGGGCCTCGCCCGGGAGTGCCGCCCATTG